GGCTCTTCACTATTAAATGCTCGTCAATTTGCTACAATTATTCAAGTTTTTGATTTGACAAAAGATTATTATACTTTATTTGAGGTATTGCATAATCATTTCATACCATTATTGTAATGATGTTATAGTTTCTTGCAATTAACATTTCAAAATTACTATGGTATTATATATAGGTAATATTATGGGTTTTGAACAATACTTTAGAGAAAAATATATTTCCACTGATTATAAACGCAATAAAAAATTATGAATTGGTATGGAGGGCAATGGGAAAATATAATCAAATTCTTGAAGCAGTTTTGGAAAAGGTATTTTTCTAGTTTTAATTAAATAATATATAATAATATTAATGTATATATTAATTATTCAACTTTTTATTTATTTATTTATTTATTTAGAATGAACAAATGAAAGAAAAAAGAGCAATGGAATTATGTATAATAAAATTTTTATTAAGTGTTGTGCATGAACTTGGAGTTGAAAAAAAAGCAAAAGTAAATATTAAATTTATTACTTTATCTGACTAATCTATTAATATTTATTACTAAATATTACAACCATAATTTATCAGTTGGAACAAGATCTTCAGTTGGCAATAAAGGTAAATAAAATTTGAAATCTTTATTACTATTATATTATTTAATGCTAACATATATATTAAATTTTTTTGATTAGCCCCAACTATCAATTGCAATATCAAAACAAAGATCACGCTTAAGTTCAGAAATTGAACAATTGATGTACCCTATACCTCCCAATGTTCAAAACGATTCACGGATATTCCCATCAGATGATGAATATTTGGTTACAATGCTTTATTTATGCACCGACTTCATCGATAAATACTCACAAGATTATGATCATGTAGAGTTAAGAAGAATACTGGAAATATTTGGGGATTTATTGAGAGAGATAGGAGATAGAACTATAAGTGGTTTTGATGATGCCTTTAAAAAATGGACAGATGTGCATTGTAGTGATGATGATAATCTTTTAAAGCAAGATAAAGGCACATGGTTTTTAATATTTTTTGTGGTATTGGTTAGTCGAAATCTGGTGAAAATTGAGACGATCATCACATATCTTTGCAATACTAATCTTGCACGGCTTGTGAACAAATTATTCTCTAGCAAACCATTAGATTCAAGGGAATTGATCAACTGTAAGAATTTAATTATTCTTACAAGATTGTTACTTTTGATAAAAGATCAAAATAATAGGTCGCCAGAAATGCAATTATTTACACATGCAAGTATACTGATTTTATATTATAAAATATTCTACACAGAAATTCAACCTAATCATTAATTTATTTATTTATTTATTTATTTATTAGGAGCTTCAAATGCTTCGATTAAATTGTTCAAATTTAATTCAAAATCAAGAAAATCTTAAGGAAATTTATTCCATGTTTCATAGATTTGCAATAATCGAATATTCACTAGATCCGGAGAATGATTGCAGTATTAAAGATCAGCTTCGATGTTTAAGAAGAGATTTTTCCAAGGTTTTCTGGTTCAAACATTTATGTACAGTTAATCCAGAAAGTGTATATGAACGATTTGTGATGGGATCTAAGAAAATCAAAAGTGCCAAGGAACTTGGAAAACGTTTAATAGAGGTTCTTAAGATGGCACTACAAGATGAAACTAACACAATAAGTAATATTTATTT